TAGTCTTGGTCATGATTTAGTTTTAACTGTGAATGTTGACTGTATACTTAGTTTGTATTTAATTAGTATATCGTTAAAAAATAGTGATAAAGCTTCTGCAGCAAAACTATATTTCTGTTTAAGAACCACTTTATCACAAGGTTCAAATATACATTATACTTACAGTGTCACATCATACGTTTTTTGGGGGTTACAGGCAACAATAACATGCTATTTCTCAGAGTTTTTAATTAATATTTTATTTTGTTTTCCACTGGACATGTAAAAAATGTCAGGCTAAGTAGCACCAAGTGCAAACGCATCAACACATTAGTTGCATTTGATCCATCTGTTGTGAATTCCAATGAATACAGGACTGTGTAATGGCAGCAGGCTGTGAGGTATGAAGATGCTGTTTTGTCATTAACACACATCTGCCAGTAAAACGCCACCTCATTCTACCTGCATGAACCTGCCCTTCCCAGCATAATAAACACTCAAATGTATTGACTTTCTGAAAGAATGATAACGCAAATATTAAGTTTAGATCTAAAACCACTGTACAATAGAAACATAATTTCAAGGCTTATGAAAACAAACGGTACTCAACTGAATGAAAGTGTTTATGATCTGTTTGTCTGAGGGGTTGTGTGTTGTGAAGCGCTCGAGTTGCTAATGAATTTATATAACACACTTATCAAAGCTGACATTTAGCTTATTAGCATTGGCTAACTGCACTGTGCAGTGCACAAATTACGTGGGAAATTCAATTACAAAAAGATGACTTTCCATTGCCATGAATCTGTCAATCAACAGAACAACCCATCTATGTTCTTGGCAGATACAAAGGACCTTGTAAAGAGCACAAACGTTGTGGGGCAAATCCAACAGAAGCATCACATTAGTGATATTTCAGCACAAGACAGTAGGGGTGGAACGGTTCAACTTACTCACGGTTCGGTTTGTATCACGGTTTTAGAGTCACGGTTTCGGTACTGTGCTATGTTTAGGGAAAAACTATACTGTCAAATAAAAATAAAGAAAATAAGAATAATCTATCTAACTACAAGCAACAGCACAAATAAATACAATAGAGTAAAGATACAAATAAAATAAACAGTGATTTTCAGTTTTTTTTTAGGTAGGTCTAACATTAGTTTTTAGGTACAGAAATTTAATAAAGTAATGAAATGTAAAACAGCATTGCATATTTGACTGTATAAATTAAAGATTAATCTTTATTAAAGTTACAAAAGCTATTCAATCAAGAGCAGTGAGTGATTTCTTTGTTGTTGCTGTTTGATTAATATTAAGAAAGCGCTGTCACTTTAAGACACTGTAAGTACATTCAGCCGGCTATGTCTGCTGATACTTACCAAGACGGGCATTTTGACATAATTTTTGTGTGAATTTGTCCATTTAAACACAATACTTCAGAGAGAGCTTAATATTTGCGCGTTTTCTGAGGCGCGGGTTTGCGCGCTTCAGATGAGCGCACGCACAAGTCTTCTCACTGCGCGCGCGAGCTCGCGTACTCTGGCTCTTAAATGTTTAACCTGGCAAGGCTTAATAAATGAGTTTAGTTTAAACACAGATATCAACGTGTGCTGTTCAGGTCTCACCTGTGCGCGCGAGCTATCAGCACCCGGGTGATAATGGCATAAATGACTGCTCATATTCCAGCATACGGCATTCACATTGAACAAGAGTGAATGGTTTGTCCACGTTTTTTTTTTTTCATCGCTGTTGTTGTAATGTATTGGGAAGCCAGAATGCGCATCCATAAGCAGAAACATACATTAGCCGAACCCTGTTTGTTTTACGTGTTATTTATAGCAAACCATATTACAGATGCGTTGTCAGATTTAAGTTGAACCGTGGTCCTAGTGTGTGTCGAACCGTACGGTTCGATTTTTTTCCGCGAACCGTTCCACCTCTACAAGACGGTAAGTTGAAAATTCTTGCCAAAACTGAAAAAAAGAAAGAACTGCATTATTTAAATTAACTATTAGTTTCCAAACTAAATTATTTCCAACAAATAAATACTTTTAATGTGTCATTGTTAAATAACATAATACTGACTTCAAACTTTATTCTTGCTTTTTAAACAATTATTATTAGCAGTAGTAGTTTAATTTTACGGAGTGTCTATTTACACTAAGTGCAAATAGCCCGCCTTGTTGGCAGAGGATATTTACACTAACTCCACCCACAAACGTGTGATTGGAGTAGTCAACACTACAAAAAACAGCCATTAAACATCAGCTCCAGTGGCGTAGATGGTAAAGCACGTGTTAATCGAACCCGCCTTTTGCCAAACTTTTTTTCTCTCTTTTCAAATCTCATATCACATCGGAAAGGCATTTGTTTTCAATAAAAATAAAGGAAATAATGAAAATAAAGTATCGGGTAGGGTTAGGGTAGGTGTCATAATCCAGCCGATAATCACATTTTATGACTCGATCGGTACTCACTAACTTGGCTGATCTCACGAACCGATCGCAATTTGATGACGTCAACGCGTGACGATGTACATGATGCGTGGGGACATAAATGATTTGGCGCCGCAGTCATATCATGGCTGGTGTGGAAATGCTATGACGTTTCGAGAAACAATGAAAAATTCGCTATTTGTCGTGTATGTTTTTCATGATGATATGATGAATGGATGGTTCATTTTTAACAGCAGATTCAGTGACGTTAGAGCTGATCTGCGCCTCACTGCATACGTCTGCGGCGCATTACGGCTCCACGGGAACCGGAGCTGATCGCGGCCGCTCTAGTCAGTGCTTGTGTTTATCAGCCAGCCGCGGCACGTTTCTGATGCGGCTCTCCGCTCTGCTTGGCTAAAAATAGTCTTTTGTGAGGTGTCACAGCGCGGAGGACGGAACAAAACCTCATCGGAGCCGTAAGGGATAACGGTAACATAATACGCTGATCGTGGGCTGCTCTTAAATGAACATTTATTTATAAAACAAAATAACTTCTTTGGCCATATTAGCCTACTCAATAGCATTAACACAGGCTTTACTCCTTTCAAACTTTATCTGGAATGTCACCGTTTCTGTCACTGCAACTTCCCGATTAGGCGAACGAACACACACACACACAAAATCGTCTGCCTCATGAAAAAAAATTTATTTAAAATGTAGTTATGTAGTTAATATTTGCATCATTTGTGATTTATTTTATCCACCCGCGACCCACCCGCAAATAATCAGAATGCATTTTTTATTACCCAACCCGCGGATTATCCGCAGCACCCGTGGATATAGGAAAAGCAAAATAAGTTTGCTGCCTAAATCAGACGGACTTACTGAAAATGCAAATTAATTCTCTGCCAGTAGGAGGTTCTTTAAAGCGGGAGAAACAGAGGTTTCCCCAGTAACGGCTATACACAAAGCAGCGCTGAACTCACAAACGCTGCTTTATCAGGCATATAACATGCAAGATTAAATGAAAATGACATTGAAAATTCTAAAGATAGTCTTCCTTCAGAAATACAGTGATATAAAAACACCCGCGCCTCGTTTTGATTTTTAAACGTGCAGTA